ACTTTTAATAATATGACACATTTTTTAAGTTTCTTTTTTGAGTTTTTTTTTTCTAATGCACGTCCACCGTTTCTAGTATAAATCATATAGTGAYACAGTACTATGGACTATRGTTGACGAACAATCGTAAACCACAGTATATTAATTATTTGAATATACTATATAGTTGTACATTTGCAATGACTGGTAGTTAGGTTAGGCCACTTAAACATAATAGTCACGCGTAAAATTCAGTGAAACTAACAGGCGTGGTAAGCACTGTATTAACCTTCTACACTATTTGCAGTGCAGTTGCGGTATTAATTTCTATATTATGAATTTATGACGTGCGCGTTTTGCTAAATTTTTCGACTTGAAAAAAAATCAAAATTACTCAATTGCCTACTTTTTGATTTGATTGATAAAAAKAAATACACAAAATATATGCGTGGGCGTACTTTGAGATTACAATTTTGCCCAACGTCGTACGAGTGAAAAATACTGCAGTTAAAAAAACCATCCTGTCTAGACATCAAAGGTTCCAAAAATGTTACGAATGTTTATAATCGATTTATCAAATCACCGTGGTGGCATTTTTATTTTTTAGTTGTGATGAATAAAAAATGCGGGTAAGTGGATGTTACAGAAAAACGGAAATTTTCACGCAAAACCAGTTTTCGACCAAATCAATTTTTTTATATGGTTGTAATTCAAAAACTAATCATTATAAATACTTGAAATTTCCACCAAATGTCTATGTTAGTGATATCTATATACAGTTTAATTTTCAAAATGTTTGACTTTTTTTAGTTATTTATAGACCACTGAAATTTTCAATTTYTTTGAGAATTTTTTTTGWAGTACCGGTAAAAAAATGTTGGACGACCAAAAAAACTTGAAAATTTAATACAAGGTTCCTTATGAGTTATTCTTATAGTGATTAAAAAATTATAAGAATACATAGGTAAAATTTTTTTTTAGTATTGTAGCTAAAAAAAATTAGAAATCATTAGTCACAATTTTTTTTTATAAGCGTTTATAGTTCAAATTTTTACGAAATCTGTCGAAAACGCGAAAATTTGCAAGTAATTTTGAAGTTGAAAAATCATAAAATATTTTGTATTTATAACTAATACTAAGTTTTCCATAAGTTTTCCTTCAAGTAGGTATAGAGAAAACTCGAAGCATCATTATAGGAAAGATTTTAAATGCGTTTGAATTTTAAATTTTTACGAAATAGCGTAACGATAACGATTTATCCTCAAACGATTTTAAATATTTGTTATTATTCAAAAAGTATAAGTCGTAGATACTCGAAAAGTTCGCCAGTTATTTAGATTGGCATTTTATTTACATGATTTAATTTTCGAAATATTTTGACTTTTTTTTAGATATTAATTTATAATTATAGACAACTGAAATTTTCAATTTTTCTGAAAAATTTTTTTTGAAGTGTCGATAAAATTTTTTTGGCATCATCAAAAAACTTGAAAATTTAATAAAAAGTTCCTCATAAGTTATTCTTATAATGATTAAAAAATTATAAGAATACATCGGTAAAATTTTTTTTTATTAGCATTTGAAGTTCAAATATTGACGAAAATTCGTCAAAACCATGAATATTTTTTTTTTGTCTGTCATCACGTTTTGGGGCAGTAAAAGTGCTTGGATTTTTGACTTCAGTACCCTATTCGATCAGAAATTGAATCTAGTTGGTACTTTGGGGCTCTAATTTTTTTAAATAATCGGGATAATCAAACTAAAAATTAAGGAAAAAATGGGAATTTTTACGCACAAATCGATTTTGGTTTTTGATGTAACTTTAAAACAAATGACCATATATAGATACATCAAATTTTCACCGAATGTGTATATAAGTATATTCTATCCACCATGCAATTTTCAAAAAAATTAAACTTAAGTTAAACAATTTATAGGCATATATGCAATTTTCGATCATTATTAGTTTTTTTAAAGTTAATATCGATAAAAATGATGTTTAGTTAATAAAACGTTGGACGTGAATAGTGTATTCAGAAATAATTATGGTGGTGGTTTGATTCAAATCGTTTGAATAAAATAATATAATAGCGGTAAATATTTTAAAAGTAGTCGTGACGACTGTCACTTGTACATAGTAAACTAACAAATTTGGAAATTAATTAGGGAAATCCTGTATACGCTACTCGCGGACACCCCCCTTGAAA